ATGGAACCACTGTATAACCCAGCGGTATCACTCCTGGTATTCATCCTGAAGAATTAAAATCAGCATACGATAGTGCTACATGCATACCCAGAGGTTTATAGCAGCACAATTCACAATAGCCAAATTATCAAACTAGCTTAGGTGTCTGGCAATGAATGACTAGATAAAGAAAATGTGGGATATATACACATATTGGAGTTTTATTCATCCTTAAAGAAAAATTAAATGATGTGATTTGAAGGTAAGTGAATAGTACTTGAAAATATTATGTTAAACAAAATAAACTGCACTTAGAAAGTCAAGGGTACTGTGTTTTCTCTTACATGTGGAGGCTGAGAGAAAAATGGGGGGGGTTGGGGAAGTGGGGAGAATCTCATGAAAATAGAAAGGAAACCAGTAGAGTAGAGAGTAAGGGGGTTAGGGGGAGGGAAGGGAAAGGTACCGGAGAATAAAACTGGCCAAATTGTACTGTTATATTGCGTGTATGTTTGAATATGTAACAACAAATCGTGCTATTCTGCCTAATTATAATGAACCCAATGTGTCCAACTTGGATCATCTGGGGAAGGAGGGGATTTCTAAGAAGATTGTCAGGTTTTAACTGATCCATAAGAGGTGCAAACTTGTATTGCCTAAGGCAATACAGATGTGTGGTCATCTTACCTATCTGGTCTTGTACTTTTGCTCTCAGCCCTAAACAGTTCCCACCAGGATCCTACTGTGAAATGTGTCAGTGTTGTGACTCCTCTGTTAACCCATCCCATGGAGCATCCTCTCACTCAGGAAAATGCTCTTCAATGACCCCACACTGTCGGCTCCCTTGTTACCTCTCTGGCCCGCCATCTACTACTTTCCCCTTTGTTGAATCTACTCTAGCCTTCTTGATTATTCTTTGAAATTACCAGGCTCACTGATGCTTCCAAGACTTTCTACCTGTGATTCCCTCTGCTCACCTGATAACTTCCTACTTAAACCTTTGCTTCATCCCCTCACCTTTAGGTTTGGACTCAAACATCACCGTCACAGTGACACTTACTCCACCCACAACAAATATTGCACTTACCCCTCAGCACTCACTGCCTTTGCTGCTGCTGCTTCTTTTTTTTTCCCCCCCACAAAACATGACTGTTCAACATCCATGTAGCTATATTTATCATCCCTTTTTCTGAACTAGAACAGGCCAAAAATTTTTGTTATTTGTGTATACCCAGAACCCAGAATAGTGTGTGGCACATAGTAAAAGCAGACTAAATGTTTGGTGGTTGATAAAATGAATGAATGCGTTTGTAAAAAGTACATGACTTTATTGTTTTGTGTGTGTGTGTGTGTGTGTGTGTGTGTGTGTGTGAGAGAGAGAGAGAGAGAGAGAGAGAGAGAAAGGGAGAGACTGGTATGTGTGTATAACGGGGATGTGTATATAATGAATGCTACAGATATGCACACTTTGTTTCCTTTCCTTCAGTTTTTCTTCCCATCCATTCATTCATTCATCCATTTTTTAATCTTCTTTCTCTCTGTGCTATTTGACACCATTTATTCATATTCTCAACTTACTTAGCTCTTTTTGTGTATGTATGCGGGGAGAGAATAAGAAAAATAACATTAGTTATATATTAGGAGAGGATTCCAGGAAAGGGTGGCTACGGAGTGGTACTTCAGACTTCAGTAAGGTATGACTCACGCACTTAACCCACTCCTTTCTAAAACCAAGGACTGCGTATATTCAAGCAACTATTTCCAGAATTGTAAACTCCATGGTTTCAACAAAATGATAAACAAATGTTCTTAAGAGGGAGTGAGACCACAAGTACAACAGACTGGTCAGAAAACCCAGTTTATTAAACTCCATAATTATTTGCAATCTACTGAAGAAAGAGAGGACAAGGGATCCAATACTTCCCAAATTCTAAACATCTCAAAGTGTTTCTGTTTTTCCCCTTGTCTGTGGCCAAATGATGTTTTAAAGATTTCTAATCTATTCAAAAATTTTCATGACTGAGATTCAGAAAATCAAGCTAATGTTGTCCTAATGTCCAAATTATAAAAAGGGAACAGAAAACCACAGAGCGGGTGTGGGGATCCTCCCTTGTTTGTTACATGTGTTATGAAGGAAATGAAGGTTTTAGAGAAAACCCAATTCAGGAACAAATATGCAGAAAACAGATAAAAAGAACTGATCCTGTGTCCAGACCCAGGTCTGCCAGGGGTAGAGTGGGCCCAGCCTTCCTAGGTTCTGTTGTGCTGCAAGGCAGCACAGCACTCAGCCATCCCCAAACCCTCTCCGAGCACTGGCGGTACAGGATTCCTGTCCTGACTCTGCCTGCACAAGTCTGTGGGCAGGAAAAAGCAGAAGTTTCACAATGGTGGTATGCAAATCCTGTCTTTGGGTTTTTTCTTTCCTCACTGGCTAGTATTTCCCAGTGTCTCTTGCTGGCTTCTCCTGGGCTCAGTCTGTAAGTGCTGAAGTGTTTCCTGTAGGCTAGATCCAGGGCTTCTCTGCTCATCTGTTTCATCTTATTACTTGGTGACCTCATCTTAGATGCTCCCAAATGATCTTTCCAGCCTAGAAATTCTCCTCAATTTCCAGACACATCTATCAATAATCTCTTTATTTAACATCTGCTCTTTGATGTCCCACAGTTACCTCAAATTTATATCCAAAGAAAAATCCTTGATTCTTACTTTACTCCAAATTTAGGGCTCCTCTAATTTTTCAAGACTTTCCCATCTCAATGAATTGTACCACCATCCATCCTAGTTGCTCAAGAGCCACGCCTAGAAGTCAGTGTCAATTTCTTTCTCTCACTTCCCGTCTCTGTCCCAACAGAAGCTTGACACAACCTTCAAAATAGCTCCACAATTCTGTCCACTTCTCTTCATCTCCATTATAACCACGTTAGTCAAGGTTTCCATCATTTCTCATGGGACTTATTTGGATTAGAATGTTATTTTTTCAACTGGGACAAATAACCCTTTATTGGTTGTTGACTCAACCATCCTTTCTCCCTTAAGCTACCAGAGGGATTGTTTCAAATGTAAGTCAGATGTTTTTAAATCCTCTAAATGTCCCATGGCTCTAAATGTAAAATGCTACCTCAGTGCCTTCAAAATCCTGTACAATCTGGTCTCTGCCTATCCCCTCCACATAGCACACTTCCCCAACCTTCTGTGGATGATCCTCTTTGGTTATTTAGACCTCAGCTTTGATGGCTCTCTCAAAGAAACCTTTAACCACACAGTGACTGTACCCCAGTGCCCTGCTTTAATGCTCTGTGAAACACTTATCATTTTCTCTTCACTAGATCAAAAGTTATTTGTGGACATTTCTGTGAAAGAAGGCTTTGGGTTCATTGCTACAAGTAGTTTGACTTTTCACTAGGCTTGCAAGGCTGTCAATATATATTTGCTAGATGAATTAATAAGTGAATGTTCTATTAGTACAGAGCTATCTTGTAAATGGCCAACATTTACCATTCTTGTTTCTTTTCCTTTCTTCTTCCTCCTTTTTTTAAGGTTGGAAAACTGATTCTCTGATATAAACTCCTAAAGTTGGCCCAAAGTTCTAGTTGGATTCACCAAGACTTGGAGATATGACTGGTTATTGGTTGAAAACATAGTCATGTGCAGACCAGTGGTTTCTTCCAACACGACGGGTCTTAGGTACAGATTTAATTTTTAACATTTGTGTTGACTTCCAAAGGGACTGGTCATCACATACCACCATAGTAGCATGAAACTGCAGGCACTCAGAAATTCCCTGTGGGAGGACTGGCTCAACATTCTGTAAATAGCACCACTGATGGTATGTGTCTTAATATGGATGTTTGCTGTTGACATTATAATTGAAAATTCTTGGCAATTATTTTGAGAAAGGGCTCTTTACCTTTGCTCATTATCATCTTGGATTAACTTATGTTATACGATAGTCATCGATAGGTTAATTTATTTCCACAGAGGTAAATCCTGCCTCCTATGATAGACATAGCATAAAGAGACCTCTGTCAGAGAGGCTGGAATGCTGGTTAACCCAGCTAGTTTTGGTCCAAGCTTTAACAATAGTATTCTGATTCAAATGAAAATCTGTATGTATTTACAGGAAAATTGTATTTTCCTGTAAAGTAGAATTAATATGACTTTTGTGTACACCAAATGAACACTGTGAAGAAACAAAATGGTATGAAGTTTTGTGAAACAAAAAGTAACTTCAATTCAGTTATTTTAAAAGCACAATGCTATTTCACTTCTATGAAAGATGAAATTATTTTGGTTAAATATTAGCTACTATTTTCAACCTTGAAGTCTACTATTTCAATTCAATTCAGTAATATATATTGAGCAGCTATGGGTGGCAAGGCATTGTGTTATGGAAAATTGTGAGAGTTAGGGGCTTGGGATGTGGCTCAGCGGTAGAGTTCTCACCTAGCACGTGCGAGACCCTGGGTTCGATTCTCTGTACCACATAAAAATAAATAAAATAAAGGTATTGTGTCCAATTATAACTAAAAAATATTTTTTAAAAATTGGGAGAGCTAATAAAATACAATAACATGATTAGTGATGAAAAATAGAATGTTTTATCAAAAGGATAAAAAGTTAGATTATTTAGTTGCCATGAAAAAAAAAAGGCATATTATGTATAGATTGTCTTTCAGGGAAGAACAAGATAGAGACAATATTCCATTTGCTATTAAGATATTAATACAGAAAAGCTTTTTTTTTTATTTCATAGAAATAATTTATCTAGGAACTTGCCTTTTACTCTTGAAAAGTTTAAAGGAAATTTACCAGTTGGCTTAGACAGTCCTATGAATCAGGCAAACATGGAAGCTCAAGACCTCACGATGTTTGAGAAAGCATCTTGATTTTCAACTTACACTCCCAATGAAGACCTAATTGTACTAGTTATAACTTCTCCCCATATTCTCAGGGCTCTGTAAGTCATCTGTAATGTCACAATACCATCAGAATGACAGAGAAACCTGTACTGAGCCCAGTGAAAATGTTATTTTGGTAAGCACACTCTGAATTTGAATTGTAAAGGAGATTGATTATACAAATGAGGTGGAGAAAGAAGCCAGGACCTCAAACACACAGCTACATGTAAGAATAATGCTTGGGAAAAGAAAGACACTGAGGACATGAGTGAGATCTTCAAGTAGTTCTGGTTACCTGGAAATGATTTTTGAACTGACCTTTGAATTCATGGGAGACACAATCTGAAATAGGAAGGTAAGCTTTTATCTTAATAAGTAGATGATGCCATGTTGGAAGTTGGTATTCTCTAAAATTCAAGCATGGGCCACCAGTGAAGAAGAACAGATTACCTGCAGTGTACAACCCTATACTTGATTCCCAAAGTGAGAAGCACTGTCCCCTTGAATGTGTTTGGAAACATGCAGGAATGTTTTGTGTAGTCAGAATACAGGGACTTGACAAATATTGGCTGTCCACAATGAGCAAGAGGATTTCATATAAAAAACTGTCTCATCTCCTATATGCCACATGACTTCAGAATGTCACACAAGAATAATTTACCATAAAAATAAATTTCATGTACTTTACTGCAATGATATTGAAAAAATTTCAAAGAATTAAGTAAAATAATTAAGAACAAAGTTGTCATATTTAAACGGATTAGGAAGATATCATTTAAAAATTGCTCAATAATGTACTTTTTCTTCCCATAGTATATTTTCAAAACATCATGTATTTCCAACTACATGATGCATAATTTTAAAGGGGTTTAGTACAAGAATTTAGTTTTCATCGTTTCAAGTGTGAGTTTTAAAGGATTCAAGACTCAGTGCCTTTAGTTGTAGAGAAATGTGCCTACTGAATAAATTAAAGAAAGATTTTGTTTTGTTTTGTTGGAGATTTTCTAAAAATGCCTCATAGACACAATGCTACCCAGGGTGTTATTCCACTGATAAAGCACTCCTTACTCATAGCTGCACACATGAACGTATGAGAGAACAAAGATAATTCAGGTACCTATTATAAATTAATAGACACCTGAAAGCCTGATATCAGTAAACTGTATCACCATTTGGGAAATAGTTTTGTTATTGTCTTCCATATATTTAAAATTTTTGAGATTTAAAAGTGGTAAGAGATCTATGTTGTGAACATTACCTATTGAAATTATGAATTCACTTTTGAGTTGTTTTCATACTGATACTGTCCCAAGAGATCAACAACACAACTTTTTTGCCAATCCATTCTCCATTGCCTGCTGCCGATTATAGGATCAGAAACTAAATGCATATCTTAATATATAATAACCATTATCCAACTATTCCTCTATCTTTCCTACCCTTCCTAGTTTCTAGTAGTCACTATTTTACTCTAGAAGATATATGTTGTGTTACACAGTGTCACTTCCAAGTTGTATGTCAAATTATAAAGAATTATTTGACATTACTGCATAGTAAGTTTCAGCTCATTTGCAAGAATACCCTACCTTCCTCACCTTCCCCCATCCACAGTCTATTGTTTTCTTGGTATGTTATCTCCACATTAAGGTCATCTACCTCTTGGTCTCATCATATGCAAATACTTCTAATTTCTTCTGATTTTACTCTAACTCTAGATTTATTCTAGGGCACACTTGTATCTGGGCTTTCTCAGTTATTTATTATTAATTAATTTATTTTCAGTTGTTCCTTATATCATTTAAAATATTCTTTTATATATTTATGGTTATATTTTCTGAAAATTATAAATTATCAGGACCTACTGGTCAGTTCTTGCAAATATAAACTTGTTCATTTGATCTATGTGTATGCAGTAGGCAACTTCATAAGTCTTTCAGAGTAGCTGTGTTTGAACACACATACATAGGGGACTCTATTATTTTGTTATAAATATTTTTCATTCATATTGATTTTATATTCATATGAAATTATAACAACTTTAAAAAAACTAGTGTGTGGGTTATTTTAGCTATGAGTGTCTATTTAAGATAATTAATAGCCATTTAAATGAAAAGGGGATGTTATCTAACAGTTAAAAACACTGCACTAGATATTCTCTAGCATTCATCCATCTTTAAAACGAACTGTGTTCATTTATGGTTTTAAGAATGGCAAATACACCTGTCTCCCAGCATAATATACATTTTACTCACAAAAACTTATTCTAACTTGACTATATTTTTGGGTAGTATAAATGTCTACCTTCCGCTTCTTTATAAGAGAGAATTAGCTGTTTTCTGTTATTATTTCATTGAGTCAAGGAGCCCACACTGAATTAAGGGATCAAGCACCAGTTCTCCCAGTGTGATAGTTTCTACACTTGCCCATAGACTCCTACCTAGCTTGACAAGGCGGAGTGTGGAGGTGTTGCTTCCTCTTTCTGTGCAAGCCGTTACTGAGAGGTTGTATATGTCTCCCGGAGGTAAGCTGAGAATCGCAGTCATGACATTTCGTGTTACCTGGAAGAACACCAAAATCCAGGGCTTAAACTTCTATTGAATGAACCAGCACACTATTCTACACAATTACAAGGCTATAGCACCATTCTTTCTCTGTTTTGTGCTGTGATCTACAATTATATTACTTATATTACATATAAGTTATGTTCTCTGAAAATTATACAAATTTCTCATTTGAGCCAAATGCAAGGAGACTTAAACATGTATATCCACTCTAGATAAAACAATTCAGTAATCCATTCCCTTATTTGATATAGATATTGCTCTAGTGTTTTCCCATATAGTCGCAGCAGATTTTAGAAAAGATATTGTTGGGTTGTTACCAATACATATATTCTGAAAGGCTCAGAAGAAACCTAGCTATGTCTATAGACATGGCTTTCTACCTAAAGACTACATTTCCCATCCTCCCCTGCAGCTGGGGGGGGCATGTGATCATGTGTGCAATGAGTGAGTTCATATTCTATAAGTGCTGGGCCTCCAAGTCCTCTCTTGCCTTCTTCCTGCAGACTGTAGGATGGACAAAATGATAATGAACTTCTCCTGTGCAAATGACAACTCCACATAGTGACAAAAAGAAATAGAGCAAGAAAATAGAAAGGACCTGGGTGACCCATACTAGGCTATAATTAAAAACAACAAAAAACTTGTATCTTGTTTTTTGTTTGTATGTTTGTTTTTATTATAGTACTTTAGTCTGTATCCTAATGAACACAATGCTTAAAAGCTAATAAACTTGGAGAGAAGAAATCAATATCCCCAGTGTATCCAAATATTTAGGTGTTGATGATACATGGAGAAAATATTGAAATTTGTTAATTATCATTTTCTTGAAAATGTTTGGCATCCTGAAGAATGATCTCAAATCATAACTTTAAATATAAATTAAACCAATAGTTATTTCAGCGATTACAACTCACTGTTAGAGATTAAAGATTAAGTTCTACATAAGAAAGAATGTAATTTTGGGTTGTTCTATTTCCTGAGCTCAAACAGCGCCAGTTGGTATACAAACATATGTTTATCTACATAAATGTTTGCTTAGTGGTTTTCAATAGTCCGTGCTACTAAATGTTGAGATGCCTAATATTTGAATTAAAAAAAAAAACATACGCTCTTTTTAATTTTCTTCTTTCCTTCTGCAACAACCATCCAGTGCAGCATTCTAGAATGGGACAGGTCAGTGGTGTCATCCCCATATGTCCAGCTGATAGATAACAGGCTATTGAAATATTCCACAGAAGTGATTTCTGGAGCTACTGGGGCTATGAGGGAGGAAAGAGATACAACTTAGTACAAAGGACTAATAAAGTACTTATCAGGAGAGGATGAAATCCCATATAACAACATTTTAGGGAATTAAAGCTAACATCAGGCAATGGCCCGGGGACTCCTGGATCTCTCAGAAGCAGAGAAGGCTGGGTACAGGGTGGGCATTTATTTCATGGGACTTCATCTTGTGTATCTCAAACACAAGATAGCTAGACCCAATGGTGCCCCCTGTTATGTGATCCTGTTACAGGGTTCCTAGTACGTTTCCTTGCTTGGGTATGCTTGTTTCAGTCAATTATTAGGCATCGGTAAAGTTATTAACCAAGCAGTATTGGAAAACTTGGGGTCCTATAGTATAAAATCTCTTCCATTGTGGTACAGTGAAGATGTTGACGGGAATAAGGAGCAAAAGGAGAGAAAGGTGAAGAACAGAATATATAGGAGCTCTCTAAGTAGGATAGAAGGCAAATGTTATTTCTATAAGATAACAAGACAGAATCATTGACAATGTCCAGTCCTGTGGTTTCAAGAAGTATTACCCAAATTAAGGTGGTAAAGGAGAAGGAATAATTTTTTTTTTAAAATCATGCCACAAAGCTAAATTCTAACACTGCACTTATTTTACATCCTAACACAGTTAGATTTTTTTTAAATTGCTAATTTAGGAGCAGAGTTCATCACAAGATTTATACAACATGAGCTCTGAAAGCATATTTTAATGAACCTGGTAATTCTAAAGATTTTAAGAAACATTTAATTTATACATGTAAGTTGGCATGACAACTATGAAATATTCTGTTCTGAAATGCAGCACAAAGCCAACAAAAAATGGGAGGAACATTTATGTAAATCATGAAGCTTTCTCTTCATTAGCATGCTGCTAGAACTCATAACAAACACATATAACTGACTATGCCTTCAAAAACAATTATTCACTGAAAACTTTTAATACCTGTATATAAATAAAAACACATTTCTGTTTCATAGGTAATAGGAATTAGCATTCCTAGCATGCTTTACATAATCATGAACTATCAACAATACCCACATCTTATTTCAGAATTTTCTAATATAGGAAAAAATAACTGTGGCTTCTTTATATAAGATATTCTAAGGTACTTTATCACATCCAAATACCTATACACGTATTTCCTCAAAGGATATTTTCTCATATTCTAATTTTAGTGAGGACAAGAACACTTTTTAAAATTACAAACCCAGCCATGCATAGCAAACCCAACAAGCACTGGTCTTCAGATTTTTGTACTTCATATTGTTGCTTCAAAATCCATCATAGTGCTAAAAGACCACCAGATGTCACTGTTTGTTTAGTAATCATTATTTGCTATCCAAGCCCAATTAACTATGGACCTGGCTTGCAAAGTTGCCTAACAAAGATAATGGAATTGAGGTTCTAATGAGTCA